AAAAGATCCAGGGAGTTTCATTGACCTAGCTCTATAAGAGATTCACATAACTTAAATGCTTTAATTGATTTTGAACTAAGTATTAAGCTAATGTCACTATCTATCTACAGGAAATAGGGATTGGATGATCTAAAAGCAACATCAATAATTTTACAGTTGGTTGACATGACACTTATCCATTGTTATAAAGTGGTAGAGGATATGCTCATCAAAATTGGAGACAATTTATTTTCTTTTGATTTCATCATTCTTGATATAAATGCTCAATGCATGCCATTAATTTTGAGAGACCATTTTTAGCAATTTTATGAGCATTAATAGATTTTGAGAAAGTGAATTAATTTTAAGGGTGGAAGAAAAACAATAAAATTTCACAATGAATGCTTCACCCAAGTAGCTACTTAACATTAAAGAATGTCAAAAGATCAACCATTGGGGAAGCAGCGAGAAGAGGAAAAAAAATGTGAAATTATTGGGTAGGACAATAATGGAAATCGTTTAATATGAAGGTTCCAAAATGTATTAAATAAGACAACTATAGTGCAGTAGATGCAAGGCTGCTCTTTTCAATTCACCATGAATAGCCAAAACATCAAAGTAAAGCTAATGACTATAAATAAGCACTTATTGAGAGGCAAGCCAAATTTCTTCCATTTCGTTTATTTTGTTTTATAGATATAGGATTAATAATTTTTATTACTTTTAATAGTATAGGATATCATCCCCATATTTGAACTTAGTATAAAGTATTCCATGTTATCATTAATATCCTAATTATATTGAAAGAACATGACACTTGAGCATATTGGACAAGGAATAATATATAGTAAGTGATCCAGAACGTTCATGTCCGTCCATCCATCACCTGCAGATTTATACCAAGGAAATACTTAGTTCTCTTCTTTTTGTATCTCACTTGTTATATTTTAAAACATTGAATGCAATGTCTGTTTTAAGTTTGGAGGTGAAAAAAATATTGAGTTTTTATCTATTTTTACTATTTTGTGTGCTTGTTCAAGTGCAAAAAAACTAAAAAAATATTTTACTTTCAACTTTATTATTGTTTTTGTGGGCTTGAACTATGTGTAAGGCTATAAATTGCGAGAAAAGTTGCATGCCAAGGTTATTTTATGCATATTAATGTGAAACTTGATATTTTTAGGCACAAAATTTATGTTATGTATCATGAACGATAAATTGATTTAAAATTTGAATAGTTTGAAAAAAAAATAGTGGTCCTTAGATGCTCCAAACAACCACTAAATTATACACCCTTAAAACCAATTCTAGAATAGTTTGGGAGTGATTGAACGGTTATAGGGAGATGTTGAGATAAATGTAGATTCCACGTGTGCTAGTTTTTTGTGGATTGTTTGAAACCAATAAGATGAAAATTAGGTTAAATTTTTAAGTTCGAGGTCAGTTTTTTAGAATAAGTGGTTAACAAGGGGCATTGCACTAATCATTGTGAAAAAAATTCATAGTGCTGTCTTATTGTGAAGTTTCTCTTTGTAGCATTTATGACTCGAGTGATTAAGCCTACAAGAGTATTTAAAAATTTGGTCTCCTATAGTCATTTGACTTGGGAGTCATGGTAGAAAGATCATTTCAAAGGTTATTTAGAAAGCTTAATGGAGAGGAGTCCGTACAAAAGATAAGAAAAAGCAACAAAAAAAATATATAAGAAAATACTGCTATATGCCATGATTAAACTCCAAATACTTTAAGAGAATAAGATTTTGACAATAGATTATTAGCTTAGTCGATTCTTAAAAGTTTAAGCAATAAAAAATAAAGCGAATCCTCATTTTTTAATGTGTTGAGTTGCAATTAGTAAAATCGAATCAAACTAGAGAAGGTGCAAATTAGTATTTATTTAAATTCAACCTCTAATCACACATTGGGAAAGAGTGAAAAGAATAAAGTTCGACAATGTTTATCTTACAATATTTGGCCACGAAGGGTTGGGATTTGAATCAATTTATGACTTTTTGCTGCTTTACATGAATATTCACACACACATGTTAGTTTTGCATTGGATAGGTAGAGAATGATTTAGCAATGTGATTTTGAAATTGTTTATAGTTTTAACTCAAGTAGTCTAGTCCTAAGTCTAAAGGTACGTTACGAACCAAGTTATTTGTGAAAATTTTGTGTAGTTAAACTTTATTTTGAGCTGTTTGATAAGTATATTCCATACACTTATCTTAGTCATTAAACTAGAGTAATTATTGCTATTTTAAATGAATTGAGGCTCACTTCATTTAGGTGCATCACAAAATGAAAAATGATGGAAGCTGACAAAATGAGCTAAAAATTGGCCAAAATGGTCTGAATCCAAAGTTTAGAGACTAAATCACAAAGTGTTGATAGTTGATTCAAACCTAATATCGATGATTGGAGAAGGTGTGGAGTCAAATAGATGGAATTGGAAGATAAATGATCAAGAAGATATAAAAAGGAGTTAAAATGAATGAAGTCCAAAATTGAGGGACCAAAGTGCAACAAAATGAAGATTTTATAACCGTGTGCACACGTGGGACTATAGTGGGCATTTATCGAGACAAAGTTAATACTCGACACACGCGGGGACCATTTCTAGGCCTGAGCGGCCCAGTGTTCTCTTTTGACCAAAACTCTCATGAAAATCAAATTCAACCTGCTATTTAAACTACAAGGGATGGCTAGAACAGATGAATGACTTATCATGTATAATTTTACCACATGAAGAAGCTTCACGGAATTCAAAGGTAATTAACACACGAAATTGAAGATTCGTAATTTGGGTTGAAGATTTACAAAGAAAAATTGATTTTTCACTTTCCAATCATTATTTTCAATCATGGGAGATGTTTTTCCAAATCTTTTTCTGTGACTTATTAGATAACATGCTAGACTAATTCATTTCATATATTGGACGAAGATGAAACATTTTATTGTTTATTTTAATACAAATCAAGTAGTTCAGTTAAATTCTTATAATCCTTGATTAATCTTGCATACTTAATTTTGTCGTTTGATTGCTTGAAGACCAATTTAACATATGTTTGTTTGTTATAGTGTTGGAAAGCTCACAATAGGTCTAAAATATTGCTTGATTAACATATATGCAATAAATGTTAGAAGTAATATTTACCAAGTGAGAAATATTTGAGATAATCGTGAAATTGAATGCATTCTATTTATTTGAATTCGAACTATGAAAATATTTGGGTCATGACTAGAATAGATTTAATTTATCTTGGAAAAGAAAATTAATTACAATATAGCTATCGATTGTCAACAATGCATGAACGAAACTAGTTACGCAATTGAGGATTGGAATAGATAATAATAGGTGGATTTGTAATCTAATAAACTCATTCCACAAATACAAAACTTGTATTTTACAAGCTTTCATAAGTTAATTTAGAATAATTATAAATTACAAATATCTTTTATTTGCTCACTTTGAATCTTATTAAAAATTAGTGCACTCGATTGAATTTTATTCCTTGTGGGACGATACACATTACTCATTACAATGATCTTGTATATTTGCATGATTTTACCAAACATTTCGTCCCTATTTCTAAGTTCAGCGCTTCATCCTTTATCCCTTCCACTTTGAGGAATTCATTGGTTAGATCCTCCTTGGTGCATATCAACACTAAGGTTCACTTTTTGTAAGCTAACATAGGTACTATATTTAGTGTTGTTACTGCCAGTGCCTACCTTGAGTTGAGGGTAGTTGACTGCCTGACGTCGTGATCCATCTAATGGGAGGTGGGACCACTTCTTCATTATCTTTGAGGAGACGAGATCCTTGGTTGGCCTATTGCAATGATTTTTCAATTCCTTATTGACGATCTTGCTCCTTATTGTTTCTAGTGGGACATCATAGTTGTTAATGTCCTTAATCTGTACGTCTCTCCAAATGCTTTCATATCCAGCCCTTTCCTCAAGGCTGAAGTGCTTTCCTATCAGTAATTCGTACATAGTAAGTAATTTCATCGACAAAATGTTATCAAAAGCATTTCAATGATTCTCCTAACTACTGCCTCATGTCTTGGAGATGCAGTATAGGTCTTTCACCCTTTTTACTAGCCGTGAATTGCTTAAAGAAAGCCTTATTGAAGTCTAGCCAGTTTTTAATACTTTCTTCCAAAATCCTAGCGTTCCATATTTCGGCTATACCGCTTAGAGTAATGTGAAATTCTCCATATTTTACTATAGGAGACGAGTCCCTTAGGATCATATGAGTTTTAGGCTGTTGAGGTGCTAGGCGGGATCACCTATTCCATCATACTTGGGGATTTTAGGTGGTACGAAATAGCTTGGGACATGTACGTTCTTTAATCCCTAAGAGAAAGGCAAGTTGTCATCATCGTCGTCAAAGTGGTCGATCGAGATCTTCGTCCTCTCCGACTTAAGCCGCTGGAGGTGGTTAGGTGGGCTTGCTTGATTTTTGGCTAGTTCTGCCTTCCTCCAACGCTATTTTTAGGTGGAGGGGTTTTGAAGGGCATTTCCTTGGGTATTTTCATTTGTTCTCTTAAATTGAGATGGTCCCTGCTACTTGTTTTTAATTACAGGATGAGGTTGAACCTACATATTTATAGGCTCTTGTGGTAGCTAGGAATGCTTATTTCTAGGTCTTCTAGGGCTCAAACTGTCAAAGATACTTTTAGATCTCTGTGGAATGTTTTCTAGTTTATAGTTGGGAGGAAAATTGAATAGAGCTTCGTTGGGCCAGTCAGTGGCACAGTTGGAGGAATTGTCATCTTCGACTTTTCTCTCTGGGAGAGCTTCTTGTCTGGCGTAGTGCTCGTAATCATCCATTTGGCTTTGAACTTCTTCCTCGTTGTGTTAGTAGTTCCTTTGTGGAATAAAAGGGAGGAACGTAGAGAAAAAGCATTTTCTTAGGCTACATGAGGGAAAATTATCCTTCTTGGTTCTGCATATTCCTATGCAGCTCTTGCATGTCAATATTTTGTTGGGTGATGTCTCTCATGTTTGTAGCCATGATAGCCACCTCCGCTGTTAGCCTAGCAACTAGGATAAACCTCTTAACCCACCTTATTAATGCTGTTGGTAAAATTGATGACGGGGAGGTATGTGAGGGTTCTCATTCTTTAGGGCGTTCCTTAATTCTTTGGGGGGCCGACACTTCATCGTTGGAGCTTATAATGACTTTCTTTCTTCAGAGGCAACTTCCTTGAGGGTCTTTTCTTGGCAAATGATGCTTCTTTCAGAAACAACTAGAACTTTTTCCAAATGGTTTCTCTTGGAGGTCTTCAGGTGTTCTTTCTTCAAGAACAACTTCTTTCCTTCAAAGATAGAACAATCTTCCAAAAAATATATTTTGTAATTGATTTTTTCCATAGATATCTTGTAGTTGAACGTGTGGCTTCCCACAAAGGGTGTTAATTTGTTGACCTCATTTTCCATTAGAATGACATAGGCAACAAACATCGAGTCTACTTGCATCTAAGCAAGCAAATTCTAACACGTTTTGACTGTAGATTTTGTTGAGAAAGGTAATCGTTTCTGAATATGGAAGATATCAATGACACGAGACAAAGTTATCGGATACCAGCCATATGTTTATGGATGATTGCATATTAACGATCAATCATGAACAACTCAATTAAAACAGTATAATCTAAATTTGATCAAAGAAAAGAATGAAATAAACAAGAGAGAGGACAAAATGTAGCTTTTAGTGTAAAGAGTTGCATTAGCTTCAAAGTGTTACAATGGTTTGTAATTATAGTGTTACAATAGTAGTTTTGACCGATGGATGAAGCAAATGTGGCTTCATCTAACCCACTGAGACATCCTATCATTGCTATCCTATCACCCATTTGCCATACATTGTACTTCAGTGTGTTTGGGAAGAGAAACCATCCTTTGTAGTGTGTTAGTATACATAATTATTTATGTCAACATGATTTGACTTAATTGGACTACAAGTTGTCACATAAATCGTTTGCTAGATACTATGATTTTCTTGGGACGACTTTTAATTCATGGCCCTTTGGAGGGAGGGAGCTCAGGATAGATGACCTCGACTATAAAGAACTTCCACAATTGAGTGGGGTTTGACCTGTCGATTCCGGTCAACCTTTAATCTTTTCTTTTGATTGATGCCTCCACATGGTTTCCATGTATACTTGGAATAGAACCTCGGTGACAAGGCGTAACAGTATTATGAAAGACAACCCTACATTTTCTTTCTTGAGTATGATCACATTCCTTTTTATCTACAATGTTTGGCAAACAATTCTAAAAATATACTTATAGGCTTTTTAGCCTACTCACTTTAGAATTTTCACTCCCTAGGCCTAAAAATTCTAATTTAAATGTTGAGATATATACCAGGCTAGTTATGTAATTTTCTTTCATAAATTGAAAATTACTTCATCTTATATTTTTTCAATTTTTACTTTAATCTAATTATATATTTTTATAATTAATACTTTAAAATCATATAAAATTCTACCAAACACCACCCTAAGTAGATACCCATCCAAACATTGGTTATATGATAAATATAATTTATACATGATAAGTGTAAGTTATACACTTATCTAGGCTGTTAGATTGCGATATTTGGTATTGCCTTTGATAAACTATAGCTTAATTTCGTGTATTTATTATTTCTTAAGTAAAATATAATGATTGAAAGTGAAATTGGAAGAAAGAACAAAAGATCAATGTAAAAGGATGTTTCAAAAGTTTTGGGACCAAATTGTAAATATTTAATAGTTGATTTGAATCAGAAAATGATGACTGAAGATTAGGAGGGATCAATTTGACTGAAGTTGAACGAAAAAATGATCAAAATATACCTTGGAAGAAGTTCAAGGACCAACTTACAATTGTTTCCAAAATTGCCAAACTCATACATGTACATGGGATAATGGGGTTCAGTACGGAACCCCAAAATCTACAAAAACTTAGAATGAAAATGTTGTACCACGCGTGTGCATGGCTTTTTGGCAAGACAAGATTTAGTTTCCTTTTTTGATACAAATATTTATGGGAAACAACTTTTGATGCATTATCAATATCTGCAGAAACTGAGGATGAAAGTGTTGAACCATGCATATGCAATGGTTTATACCATGCATGTGTATCACTTTCTGACCAAACGAGATTCAGTTTCCTTTTTTGAAATGAACGCTTATGGGAACCAACTTTTGACGTGTTTTTTTACCTAAGTTGCCATATATATACAAGGGCTAACATGAAAAAGATCTTTCCTCACTCTCTGTCATATCTTTCAACAAAGTAGGGACAATTCATCATAAGTTGGTAAAGAAAAATCAAATTTAGCAAAGATTGAATCTAGAAATATCAAGAACTTAAATAATCAAATCTCGGATTGAAGGTCAAGAGCTAGAAATAGATTCCACATCTTCATTTATGTATACATTTTGGGTTATGATTTTGTTAGAGTTGTGACTCAAATAGGAGTCTTGGATCGTGTGTTGGTGTTGGAAAGGAGTCTAACTACAATCAAACAAAATCCTGTTGAGTTTGTGTCTCCTAATTGTAATATAGTTTCTAGCCTTTTAGGACACTTCTAGGGTTTGAAACGTGACCTATAAATATAAGGTTCCTTTTTAGTTTTGTTTAAGGATTATTGCCGTGTTTGTAATTTCTCTTCATATTGTCAATTTATAATACATCGTTCCTCTGCGATAAATTCTCTTTATTTATTTCTTTACTTTTAATCTTGTTTCTTGTTGTGATTTTTATTACTTCACATCGTCATTAATCTCATTCTTTACAACCCTTTGGGATCAACAGGTTTTTCAATTTTATTGCTATTTTATCATTAGAATTATCTAGGCTAGATTTCTTTTGTGTTAAGATGAAGATGGACCCCATTATCATTTATTTTTAATTTAAAGACCAAGTAGTGTAGTTTATTTGTGTATTTGATTGATCTTGTACATTTTGTTGAAGATCACCAATTTGATAACTAATTAATTGTTGTAGTAATGAAAAGTTTACAATGGGTTTAGAACTTTTCAATTTCAACACATGGGTAATATATATTAAGAATAATGTGCATAGCGTATGCAATCATTTAGGTAATCATGTAATTTAATGTTTGAATATAAATTTGGAATAGAAATATGATCGGGTCGAGTTTAGAAATAAGTTTAACTTACATTGAGAAATATAGTTAAATAAAATTGGAGTATTAATTGTTATGAATACACAAAGTACACTAAAATACAGGTCAAGGATTGACAATGAAATAATATAATTAGGTGAATTCAAAATTCCAACACGTTCATTTGTATGTTTCGTTCAAAATAATCTTAGATAACTAGTAGAATAATTTAGTTATAAACACAAATCTCTTTCATTAAATTTACATTCAAATTTGATGACGAATTAATACAATTAAATTTAAGATTTATTCCACATGGGACGACATTCTACTAATTATATTAATACTTATCAAAGATCTGGTATAGTTGCGGGTTTCGCGCGAACACTATACAACTCAACACCACATCCTAAACCAACGCCATCGATATTGCCATCAAAATACACATGACCACCACCATATAGCATTACCACTATAAATACCACTACTGTACTTGGATATGAATCTGGTATTACAAGCCCATCACCATCAATATCATCGACAGATTCACATAATTGCTACCTCCACCACTACGACCCATTGTCCTGCAAGATATGGTGTTTGAGATTTTAATGATAGTTCATTGTGGAAGTGAGGTTATGGGTTGTCAGAGGGTTATTGTTCTGTGTACGAAAGTGATATTGCGGTGTGATATGGAGGAGAATAGGAAGAGTCACGGTGATGGAAGAAGGACGCTAAGGAGTAAATGTGAGGAGGAAAAACACAGTTGGATTTATTTTTCTTCCCAATATAGTTCTTTAAAGATGGTAGCTGATAGCCTAGGTCACATTGGGTTTGTTGTGTAAGGTAGATTTAGGTAAGATGAATAGTAGTGAATATCTGGTAGCAGCGAACAATAATTTTGTACTGCTCGATTTTTTGGTGGAGATGAATTTTTAAAAAGACTGGTGGCATGAAACACACTTTAGCCCATGTTTGTCAATTTTTAACAAATTAAATTGTTTGCGACAATAACATTCTCTTCCGCACATTCACATAATAAAATATCTTACACACAAAACAATAAAATTTCTTTAAATTTTAACCACACATTTTCCAAAAAAATACTATTCAAAACTCTTCAATTTCTCCCATAATGGGAGACAAACAGCCTCCTACTTTATTAAGCCATTACTTGAGCCCTATTTTTTTATTTTTTTTTTTCAAAAACTCATTTTTAACCACATGTTCTTCTATAAAATGATGTTAAACGTAAATATATATATATTTTTAATTTTATAATCACATGTTCCCTAAAAAATCACTATTCCAAAACAAAATCCCCCTCCCCCCCCCCAAAATAGGGTCAAAAGGGGGCTAACTTATAAAATGATAAGTGACACACATACAAGTGTATTACAAGTTCGATTAATAGTATATATGATCAACATCACTTAGAAAAATTATAATGAAGGAGGAATGAAGGTGTTGACTGGGTGAAAGTTGTGCTTTCTCAAGCCAGAGATAGAAGGAGAACGACAATAGATATGGATCAGATTCTGAATAATGAAGGTGGACTATCTTTAAAATTTTTGAGAGGGTCGCCAAATTTACAATAGCTCTTTTTCTTTTTTCTTTTTTTTATCCAACAACTTTAATTATGAAAGGGCATTTAGGTCTTTTGCAGGATTTCATTTTTCTTTTCGATTTTAATTATTAAAATTTTTTTGTAATAGATTTATCATTTTTGGGATAATTTCTTAAGTTTTATTTATTTCCAATTACATTAGTTATATAAGGACAACTGAGTCTTTTGAAAGTTTAGGTTTTACATCGTGCACTTGCTATTTAAACTCTCATTATAGCTTTATCATTTTCTATATGACTTTTCAATGAAAATATGAGATTTTTCATAAATGATGCCTAACTTTCATTATTTTGATGAGTCCTCAACATTCTACGACACAATCAATTTTTCGATCCAATCAATGTTCAATATAGGAA